AGCTTAAAAGAGAGATGCGAGCCGACCAAGATACCCAAATATTTGTAGGCATCGACAAACGACACCATCAAAGGATAAAATCAGAGGAAGAACTGCTGGGACTGAGTAACATGATGGGAAACTAGTCTGAGTTTTTGATTTAAACCTTTACTTTCAGCATCTCAAAGCGTTTGACCTTTGACCTCCGGCAGTCAGTGACACCGGGAGTTCTGGATGGTTCTGCTCAGAGAAACAGGCCCGCCTCAGAGCGGCGAGGAGTCGTTATTAAATACAAACAATTCGCTGAACTTTCTCTGATCTCGAGCTTTTTTCCTCCAGGCTGAAACAAAACCACCTTAACGGTTCTTATCCTTCATGTTCCAAAGAAAAAACTTCTCTTCGGCTGTTTGAGCGACCCAGAACATCAGAGGAACCTTCTGTTGGTGACGTGATGGAGACGGAGTCCCCTCAAATTGATCACTGTCTGTGGGCCGACCCGGTTCAATCGGGCGGGGGGAATCAGTCAGGATCATCTGTGTTTATGCAGCTCATGGGGGCGGGGGATTACCTCACCGTTACTGGATTGGCCTCAGAGGAAAGGCTGGCCATCAGAACGGCGGGCCTGAACACTCTTCTGCTGTTTACATAAAAGGTAACGTGGACCGGGCCTCGGCTCGGTGCGAGCCAGAGACAATTAGACCCCCATAAAGGCTGTAATCCACCGGCACGCGAGCTCATCGGCTTCAGACAGAGCCGGGCCTCTGAAAACAACGAGGAGACGGATTCCAGCCACAGAGATCAGAACTTAATGAGATTAACCCGGAGCTGAAGCTTTGAAATGTCACAATAGAAGACGATACAATTAACAGCTAAAGTTCAGCTCCAGATTTGAAAAACAACATATTTGCAAATTCAGATAACAGAATCTGTAGACGTTTTAAAGATCGGCTGCTAAAATCAAAACGTATAACAAGAAAAAAAACAAAACAAAGTGGAAGTTCAGCACCGCGCTAAAGGAGCTGAAACTGAGTGGCTAAAGCTAAAAGAAATGGAACACGAGTTAAAAGCCAAATGCAGCAAAATGCTAGCTGAAAGTAGCAAAAGGCTAGTTACAAGTATAAAGTAGCAAAAGCTTAGTTAATAGCTAAAGAAGCAAAAGGCCTTCACCCACTTTAGCACAACTTTGTTCGTTATTAAGATACAAAAGAGAAAATTTTATAGAATAAAACTCAAAGAGAGTCCTGGAGGGGACTAAACAGCAAGCCTCAAACGGGTCTTAGTCTGGGTCTTGGTTTGGGTCTTGATTTGAGTCTTGGTTTTGGTTTTAGTTTGGGTCTTGGTTT